TAGATGTGTACGTACCCTGTTCTTCTCTAGATGTGTACGTACCCTGACAGCCTTTCCCTACTCGCCCATGAGAGGGACTGTTGGCAGGGAAAGCCACAAACCTCACCCCTGCGCATAATTAAAATGCTTTGACAGGTACAAACACCCTGTTGCTGTTGGCTGGATAGTACTGGAGCTGAACCGACTGATCGAGCGCAGGGTCGCCTTTTTTGGTCTCTGTGTCTCCACACAGAGGACCTCAGAATGAAAATACTGAAATTTGCTCTTTGGAATATCTTCAGTCATTCTCCCAATATCATGTTAAAGGACAAGTTGATGTCAAACCTGTTTCCCTGAGCTGGTAGCAGCCTCGTGTATCAGCTCTTCCCCGTGGCAAATCCCTGAATGTGCGCTCAAAGCAGTGTCAAGAGAGTCAACCGGAAGGAATCCCGCTCAGTGCACTGTCGGCCTTGACATGTTCAAAGAATGTTCTTCCGTAAGGATAATTGTGGAAATGTCTGATTTTGCAAGTATGCAAAAATACAGCTGCCACAAGCAATATCCTCTTCCTACATGTTTTTGCACAGATAAAGCCAGAAACTGGAAAAGATTCGCTTGTGCAAGAAATGTCTGATTTCAACCAGCTGGAAAATATCTGGGGAAAAGAATGTTATTGGGCATAGAAGTCTGCAAATATACTTTGATAGCCATAGTGCATTTTCAGAACAAAAGCGAGCTAATCAGCCTACCTCGAACACTTCTTCATCAAGTATCCTGGTTCCAAAAACGACAATGCCTTTGGTGTCGATGATCGGGTGAGGACTTCTTCTTAGGGTCTTGGTTATCTTCTTCTTACAGTCCAAAACCATAGTGATGGTTTGCCTGTGTACACTAATCGCCACTCGGTGCCACCTGAGGGAAGAGACCGGGTGGGGTTATCTCCAGAAGTAGAAGGAAAGTGCGCGGCTAGTGTTACATGCATTTATTTGCTATATGCTTCCATCTAAAGCTTTGTACAATTGAGAAAACAGGGTTAGCCAGTCCTTGGAGTGATTGGGATTAAGCTTCTTGTGAAGAAATAACTACGACAAGCACAGGATTTGAACCAGCAACCTTCTGAGCACAAGCATACAGCCACAACCATAACCCGCAGAACCGAACACCAGCCCCACGTTCTGACATTTAAACATCTTCAAACATCTTCAAACATCACCTTCCTAAAGGAGGAAGAAGAACAGCTCTATCAATAATTTGTAGTTCCAGAATCACTTCAGGAAGAGCAAGAGCAGAACGGAGCGACTGGCTTACTTTCCGTCGGCCAGGTTGACCCCTTGGAATAGGGGGTAGTCCTCTGGCGCAGGTTTGCCCGTATGGTCTTCATACAGGAAGACGGGCGAGCGGCCCACCTCCATCCCAAGCTGCTGGATGCCCTGCGAGTTGTAGACGGACAACAGGAACGCCTGGCTGTTCTTCTTTGGCTTCACCGTCATCAAGATTGAAAAGTCTTCAGGAAATGCAGCCGCTGAAAGGAATGGGGAGTTACAGCTTAAGAGTGATGCTCATTCATCCATTTCCAGATGCTCACCGTTAAATAATACGGAGCGTAACTGAGACACGGTCACTGCAAGCATCAAACATTATCAAGCATTAAGGCCTCTTCTATGGATAAGGGCAGCTTAAAAATCTTTCCATCTGAAATGCTTAAAGATCTGAGTTAAATACAGTTCTGAAACAGATCCTGACCACTGCACAGAGCACAGAAGGATTAAGTATGTCACCAGCTTTCTTGAATGAAAAGGAACTATTTATTTCCTTATTTTTTCTCTTCAGGAAAATTTCTGACGGCGTTCCCTTGTGAGGATGCTGAGGGAAGAGCAACATGAGCAGCTAGGTAGTGACAGCATTCCTTCCAATTTTCCGTTGTCTAACTGTGCCTGAGGTGTTTCCACTGAGACAGCCCTTTCAAAAATAGACTTGTAAAAGGGTGAAATCCCTCTCCCAGCGGCCTGCTCTCTGTCAGAAGCAGCAGGGGTGTTGTAACATTCTCTTTTTTCCTGGAAAATTTCTGCTGGCTTGTTTTTTAAATATTGAATGTGCTTAATACTCCACAGCTTGAGGTCATTTTAAACACTCCGTACCCTTAAGCAGTTTAGGTTTTAGCAGTTGAGATATCCTGACATCCAGTGATAGATTTCACATTATATTTCATTCCAATAATGCTATTTTGGTAACACTTTACTTGACGGGGCACAAATAATGTAGTATTATACTATTACTTGTGTATTAAATAACCACAAACTAAGTCTTATTTGCATAATGATGTCCCATTAATGTGTCATTAATGAATCATGATATATGTTTTATCTCAAGCAATTACTATATTTGTTACTATATCTGTTAGTTCTGTAAACCTTTGTGAACTACTGAAGGAACAAGTCATGAATACTGTCAGTACTGTTGAGTCAGTGAAATACTGATCTCAAGTTTGTTCATTAATGAATCGTGACACACCTTAATCTCAAGTAGCAACCATATTTGTTCATGATTTGTGCTTCAGTAGTAACTGAGTTATTACTAAGTATTTGAGCCCCGTCAAGCAAAGTGTTACCACCATTTCTTTAAGTTCTCTGATTGAAAACCACTGGATTTTTATTACACAGAGAACATGCACCCAGCCACCAGACGACTATCTTTCTTTATGTGAATTAGACATAAATGTCATAGCTTTGTGTGGCTGTAATTCTTACTTTAGATTGTTGTCACCCACACAATGTGCAGGGTAGCTGCATAAGGGACATAGAAGTACTCTTTTTAACCCGTGACCTCTGACACAAGCTCTTTGTGTGGTCTGACCTCTTCGACAGTTGGTAAATCATTCACACCCCCCAGCAGCCACGTCATTAGCCAAGAGCATTGTGGGATATTCTAAGCAAAGTCCCCCCCCCACCATCCCACCAAGCACCCAGGAATGCTGCACTTTAGGGATCACAGATTTCCAAAAGTTGCTAGTCAGCCTGAGGGAACACAAGGTCACAGTATGGGGGGAGGGCTATGCATGTCTGGAGCTACGCAAATTCAGCAGACCGACAGGAAAGGAAGGAATGAATGAGAAGTCCCTTGGGGGGGAAGGGGGGCTATTCTCATCAATCTTCAGTTTTCTGAATAGTTTTGCTTCCATATAGTTCACTTTGCCTGCAGAGTAATGTGTGAACAAATCTAGGGCAGCCTGGATCCCAGGGAAGTGTTTGGGATACTTCATGCTCGCAGTAATCAATGCACATGACTGTGAAATCTTTGTAAATCTTTGGGAGGTATAATAAAAACACATTCGGAGAGGCTGTGTGTTTCAGATATCCAAGTTATTCAAATTATTCTGCTCTGAAACCAGGACTGCAATGGGATTAGAAACCGACGCTGGACGTTTGCCCATATAGGCTCACCATACATACATACTGTCAATACTGCCTATTGCAGGGTGGGAGGTTGTTCCTCCACAATGTTTTTTTCTGGACAGGGGGTGGGGGTAGGGGTGAGGGTGGGCCAGATGGCGACCCCTGTCAATGACATTATTTGAGCTGGTTCTTGGCCACCCCCCATTTTACAGCGTTTCCACTGCCTCTGTCAGCGTAGTGGCTGAACTGCACAGTGAAGCTAACAGATAGTGTCCTCTGACTCACGGTTCTGGTTAGGCTTTACCCCGTAGACTCCAAATGCCCAGGGCCGGCTCTACGTGTTCATGAGGGGGGGCAGGTAAGGATCATGCACTGATCACAGCGCGTTGCCGCGCCCACCGTACGACAAACCGCCTCAGGGATGAGAGCCTGAGTGCAGCCATGTGGCAGGTGATACCTCAGCACCACACTATTCCGAATGTGGCTGGAGGGCCAACCCTGCCTGTTCAGGGGCCTCAGGCAGGAAGTATTTCTTAAGAGGCAGAAAAGCCAGAAAAATTCATGATCTTTTTATTTCCTCTGAAACGCAGGTAATTCAAGGCCCTTAGGCTGCTGTCTACTCTGCCTACAGCTAGAGCTGGCCATGTTTTTTTTTGTCTGGGCCCCAGTGCCAATCGGGCCCCAGTGCCAATCGGGCCCCAGTGCCAATCGGGCCCCAGTGCCAATCGGGCCTCTGGCTGCTGCCTAGTTTGGTTATGCCAGGATCTGACTCAGCAAATACCACCAGTTCCTGAGCTTTGAAGGTGGGCGATTAAAGGTGTTTAACATCTGACACGATTCTGTTGAGCCCCCCCGCTGTTATTACAGATGCTATCAGGGGTCTCTGAGGAATGCAGCCCGCCCACTGGTGTCTGGCGGCTGGGCTGCTCGTTGGTTACGTGCCTAGAGTGAGACTGTGCTCTCAATGTCAGAACAGCTCTGTTGCTCAGCGAAACAGCGACTGACCTGATATTCCCTCTGACTGGGCAAAGTAATCTCCATTGGCAACAACCCTTTACAAATTTTATAAATTAAGGGACACACAAAGATAGAAATGGTTAAATAAGGGCAAAAACATATGGCCAGATACATGTTTACATCAGTACTATTGAAAAGGGCCGATATAAAACAGTGAAGAACTGTAATCACAGTAAAGTTTCCGAGGAAGTCATGAGTTTTCTGGAAGATTCCAGATGACCCCAACTACTATTCCGAAGCTCCTCTCTGAGGCCTCACTTTGCCTGCTGCAATAAGAGCAGTTTTTTCCACTTTTTTGATCCATTTGTTTCACTTATGATGCAAATGGGAAAGAATCCATTTTCTCATATTCAGGCTACAGCATAATTCTAGTGTTGCTGCTGTCTATGTAATGACATTACATTTGGCCAGAAACAGCAGTCAAAAATATATAAAAACCAAATAAAACTGGAGAGAATAATAGGAGTTATGGAGCAATTAGCAGCAGCTCTTAACTTTAATTACACCATCATGTTTAACTTGACAATACTGAACTACTCTGCTCTATATAAACACAACTCAGAGAGGGCAGACTATCAAATAAACTTATTCAGATAATGAACAGATTTAAGATTTCAGTAACAAATGTTTCAACTTTTGATAAACAATTCCAAATAAGCCTTCATCATTATTTTAATTCAGAAAAATTTGAACTATTAATACAAATCAAATAAGTTTACCTATAAGCTTGTGTGTCATTATTTTCCTCATAATTTAAAACATTGTTTAAGGTTGAATGACTAATTATTCCCAAGGCTAGATTGCTGAAACATGGTTTGAGTAAATTCTAAATGTCCATGCAACAGACACAATCTGATTCATGCCATTATGACTAAATGGCTTATAAACCCACAACCTTCTCTTTACTTGTTCATGATACGTCAAATATAACTCAACTGTACTTTCCCTTTTCCTTTTTGATAGCCTGATTTGTATTTGGTTTGTTTCTTATCTAACATCTTTTTATTTCAAACAGTTCGCTAGACCAAAAAGCTATGGTCTTCAAATAATTACTGTCAAGTCAGGTATTTTCTGTAATAGTAATTGATACCATTTTATTGATTCCCCTCCATCAGGAGGGCGGCCACCTGTTGCAGCTCCCAGGGAGTTGGGGGTTAAGGACCTTGCTCAAGGACCCGCAGAAATGGCAAGGTCATGCTTGAAGCAGTGACCTTCTGATCACAGGCACAAAGGCTTAGCCCACTGGGACACACACTGCCCCAAATGCAGGCTCCGAATCTGCCCCTCATCCGAACGGTACAAAACGGACCATTTAGTCCAGTTTACGAAGCAGGGGTGTCCCATTTATAATTACATCCATGAATCTGGGCAGCACAAAGTGCCATAAAATGGAAAGAAAACAGGCCACAGAGAATGATTGTAAAGAATGAGCTCTGAAGAGGCTGAGGATGTCACACACGTCGGCTTGTGACTGGCAGCAAGACATATTTGCAAATCAGGTGTATTTTTTCAGCTTAAAGCCCCATTGTTGTACAAATAAAAAATGATGTGGGTCTGCAGGTTAAAGTGTCCGTGAGATGAGGCCATATCTGCTCAGCTCGGGCCAGGCAGCCGCTGCGGTGAGTCTCTCTACTCCTTCACCACCACAATTGGAAATCAGAAGCTAGGCGAAGCATTAGAAGGTGCTGGAGGGAAAAGGGAGCTTCTGGACGAGAAGAGCTTCTGTGTGCAGCTGAAAGAGTCTTTACTGCCCTGGGGGTAAGACTCGGGATATGACTCAAAAGAGCCGCTGCTGTTGGAGACCTCTTACATCCCTGCCAGGCATTTACAGTGGCAACCTAAGATTTCACTGGGGATTCCAGGGAGAATCAATAATCATATTGTTATACAATCCTGCCTTCCACTCAGTGCTATATACTCCTATGCTGGACTTCGCTGTTTTCCATGCGCACCTCCAATCTCCCAGTTCCTCCTGCCTCATATCTGTCTTCATATATATTACTCGCATAATTAGAGAATAATGCTGAAACTACAGAAGCATATCATTAAAATACTCTGCATACATTCCGCCAAAAGAAAGAACATACCTTTGCTTCAGTGCCTGACTTTCAGATACTAAAAATGTACTTGAGAAATCTGCAGAACTTGTAATTCTGTCACTCACATGATTAATGAATGATAATGTGATTTTAGGCGCAAAGAAAAGAAAATAAGTTAAGGTAGAGCCTCTTCGAGGTGATTGTGTTGACTTTGGCTGTCCGGAAACCACAGTGCATGCATCAACCTCTTAAAGAGGTCAAATTTCTAACATCTGGGGTAAAGTGGAGTTTTTCAATGAAAAGGCACTGAAGGGATGCTTCTTAACATTCTTGTTTGTTTTTCAAGGAAGCTCTTTTATTAATAAGTGAAACATTTTGGTTGGCCTAGTTTTGCATGGGATAACTACTGTACATATAAGGGTGTTGAAATGAGAAAGCAAGGCATAGTCTCAGTGGTGTCATTGGTCCGGCAAAACAGAGATCAGAAAGAGTGGGAAAGTAGGAGTGAAAGAATGGAAGAAATCAGAGGATGTAATCCTGAGCTGCTACAGTATAATCAACTTTTCTTTGTATTTTACTTATGATCCATACTGGAGTTTTAAGGCAGGAATGCGTTGTGATCAGATGCCCCAAGTGTGTATCACAAAAACTTCAACCTGGGTGTGAATTTTAATTTGCCTGAGTGTGAATTTTAATTTGCCTAACACCCAGACAGCCAAAAAGCAAACACGATTACACGATTTACCCAAATATACTTATTTAGAATATTGATTGAAACAAAATATGAATTTAGATTCATTCTTCAACATATTTCAGTTCCAGAGCCCTGCAGTTTGTTGATTACATTGTAGAAAGAGAACCACATAGAAGCTTAAGCTGCAAAATCAGCGTACAGTGCACAGCCATCAGTATGGAGCAGAGATGCAGGGCTGAGAGTGGGATGGATACTCACCAGGGTAAAGCTGCTTTGTGGGGGCACTAAGCTGAGCCTCTTTGGATACTCTATAAGCCACATCTGGTCCTTTGGAGGACTTCCTGTGCGTGCAGAAACCTGTCGCTTTTGTTACGCCTTCTGGTAAACTGTGAAAGTCTAATATCTTCAAGAGATCTGCCGGTTCCGCTGTGGGGAGAGAGGGTTGGGGGGGTGCGAGAAAAATGAGACACGTTATACTCAGAGTAAATGACACAGCCACTCAAAAGGGCCGAAACTTAAAGAAGACAAATTATACTCAGAAAAAACAATACAGCCACTCAAATGGGCAGAAACCAAGCAAACAAATGCTAGTTACTCCAACTCAGGTCACCTTATCCAGTGCAAACCCAATGTGTCATCATGGTCTATAGCACATCAGATAAAAAGGGTTCTCATGATGCTTACAAACTTTTTCCGAACCATTCTGAAGAGTCTGTCTGTTCTCCTCAATGTCTCCTTTTCAGCCACGGCCTGTGCCACCCACGGTCACAAAGCCACGGTCACAAAGCCACGATCACAAAGCCACGGTCACAAAGCAGTGGTCACAAAGATACAATTAACTTAGCTGTTGACACGGCCTACAGCTTGCCGCAGAGTCCAGCCACTCCATTTTGAGGCAAGTGGTTTTTCTCAAGTCCACACTTTTCTACTTGGGTGCAAATGCCTAGGCTGCGCTTAGAGCACGCTCAGTCCACTGCAGCATGACAACATGCAGCAGATCACCAATGCAGCTAACAGGGGCTCACTGTACATTCATCAACAGCTGCTATCATTTATTCATCATCTAAAGTCATTTGCACACACTGTTATGGATGTTTCTGTTATTAATTTATTTGAACTGACATACCAAGCTACATTACAATCCAAATTCTGCACACAAGTGTACAGATCGCAATGACACATGTACAGTACATATAAATGTACAGTACACCCGCATACAGTACACACTGACACGTGCAATACACAGATGTACAGTACACATGTACAGTATACACTCACACGTATACAGCACACACACATGGACAGTATACACTCACAAGTATACAGCACACACACATGGACAGTATACACTCACAAG